GGGTGAGTGTGGAGGGAAGTGCACGGGATTATGGTGATGGCACACGGGTGACTTGGTGATGGGAAACCCGCGGGGATTACAATTGAGATGGAAATAAAAATGTACAAAATGATGTAAAAATAAATTGTTATAAAATAAAATTTAAAAAAGTGAAAAAAAAAAAGATTTACTTTTATCTATTTGCACATGCAAGAACTGGTGTGTAGTCTAGAGGTGTGGGGAGGGAGAGGATTCACCAGGCAGTGAGGAGCAGCCCAGGAACATCTACTGAAATACACTGCTGAGAAGAGCAGTGGGTGAGAAAGGAGAGGTCTGCTGCACCATGGGGAGTAGTTCTGGTGTGCAGGTCTATTGCTGTGTTATCTCCCTAGCCAGGGATCAAACTCAAGCTTTGGTGGCTGCTTATAGCTTGAAAGTGCTGATACTTTAACCCCTGCACCACCAGGGAGGTCCAGCATATGAACTTACTGGACAAGTTGTTCCCTGAAAAAGTCCTATAGAATATGGAACACACTGTGCTTTGCCATCTGAGAGGATGGAGTAGACCTTTGAATTTGACTTTTGAATTCTGATGTTGTGTATGACCTCTCTGCTTACTGCCCTTTGAGATCTTTCTTGGTCTGCTCCTCCATCACAGCCTTTTCTTGCTTTGAATAATTTTGGGATGTGTCTTATCTCTTTACAGGATTTGCTGTGTAATTGAGGTGACTTCTCTGCTGAAGATCAGGTTAAAGTTCCTTCTCCTTTCCTGGTCTTCTTTTAAGCACTTTGTTGGAATGAGGTTTTGTTTTAAACATTACTTCAATATTTGAAGCAATGAAGTCTACATTCTCTCTCTCTCTTTTTTCTCTTTTTTTAAAAGACTTATTTTATTTATGCATACAGAACTGGGGTACAGGCCAGAGGTGCAGGGTGGATTCACCAGAGACAGAGTGGGGAGCAGAACAGGCAGGTCGATGAAGTACACTGCTGAGGGGAGCAGCGGGAGGGTCAGGAGAGGTCTGCCACGCCATG